AAAAAAAAAATATGACATGGCTAAACAAAAAGATAACATTGCAAATTTGTATAGAAATTTTTGATTTTAAATTTATATATACCAAAATCTTTCTTTAAGTAAATTTACATTTATTTCCTTATGTAAATTTACAATATTTTATTATAATTTTCGTTTTTCAAATTATAATTTGGTGATAATTATTTTTGTCACAATAGAAATTTGGTCTAAATGTGTTTATAATAAATATTTACCAAGTTGTTTTTATAAAGAATATTTTATTATGTTTTGTGACAAAATACTCCCAAAATTTATAAATCCCATGTATATACAATATTCTCAAATTTATAAAACCCATGTACAGTATATATACACTTTTTCTATAAAAAAAATTTCAACATAAGAATATTTGAAAATAAAATATGAATTATATATTTATTAAACGAATAAATTCTCTTTAAAATAAGAGACAATTGCACAAATACCACTTTTGGTGTGTACATTTGTAAAAATGTCACTATGGATTGTCTATTTGCAAAAATACCACTAATTATGAATTTTTAGAGTCTAAATCTTAAAATTCTAAACCCAAAAAATGTTTTGACCCCTAAAACCCTCTAAATCTTCAAAACTAAACTCTAATACAACATAGTTAACCCAAACATAAATGACATAATGAATAAATAATTTTGAAAAATTGGCATTTTTGCACAGATTTTGAAAATATAGCATTTTTGAAAAATGACACTTGAAAAGTGATATTTTTTCAAAATTTCTCTAAATTTTTTTAATCATTTTTAGCCCATTAATTATACACAAAAAAATTATAGCCCACTAATGGTAATTATTTTTTTTATAAAGTTTAGCCCACTAATTACCTTATTAATTTAATAAGCTAAAAAATACCCACTACAACTATACATAGTTTCCATTATATATATCAAGCTAACAACTAATTTACTTTCTTCACACCTCATTTTTTAAAAATGGTTTTGCTCTATGATTATGATGATATTGTAGATCTAAATTTTTTTAAATATACATGGATTAAACAAGAGACATTAACCAT